CCCCAAAACGGGCGGGGACATTTGAAGCACGACTTTAGCCTGATTGGACATTTAGTGGCTGGCAGATCAGACGTCTAGATTAGAACACTGAACTACTGTTGCCGTGATATAATTGATTAGAAAAAAAATCCCTTCCTTTTCCCGTTTGGCAGTGCGTCGCCCATATCGCCCTATTGAACACACCGCCCCTGATCATGAGGAAGGTGAGGGATCAGCCCAGAACTACACGGCAGGACCTGGTCAATGACCTGAAGAGAGCTGGGACCACAGTCTCAAAGAAAACCATTAGTAACACACTATGCCGTCGTGGATTAAAATCCTGCAGCGCACGCAAAGTCCCCCTGTTCAAGCCAGCGCATGTCCAGGCCCGTCTGAAGTTTGCCAATGACCATCTGGATGATCCAGAGGATGAATGGGAGAAGGTCATGTGGTCTGATGAGACAAAAATTGAGATTTTTGGTCTAAACTCCACTCGCCGTGTTTGGAGGAAGAAGAAGGATGAGTACAACCCCAAGAACACCATCCCAACCTTGAAGCATGGAGGTGGTAACCTCCTTCCCTCAGTAAGAGCATTGAAGATGGGTCGTGGCTGGGTCTTCCAGCATGACAACGACCCGAAACACACAGCCAGGGCAACTAAGGAGTGGCTCCGTAAGAAGCATCTCAAGGTTCTGGAGTGGCCTAGCCAGTCTCCAGACCTGAACCCAATAGAAAATCTTTGGAGGGAGCTGAAAGTCCGTATAGCCTAGCGACAGCCCCGAAACCTGAAGGATCTGGAGAAGGTCTGTATGGAGGAGTGGGCCAAAATCCCTGCTGCAGTGTGTGCAAACCTGGTCAAGACCTACAGGAAATGTATGATCTCTGTAATTGCAAACAAAGGTTTCTGTACCAAATATTAAGTTCTGCTTTTCTGATGTATCAAATACTTATGTCATGCAATAAAATGCAAATGAATTACTACAAAAATCATACAATGAGATTTTCAGGATTTTTGTTTTAGATTCCGTCTCTCACAGTTGAAGTGTACCTATAATAAAAATTACAGACCTCTACATGCTTTGTAAGTAGGAAAACCTGCAAAATCGGCAGTGTATCAAATACTTGTTCTCCCCACTGTATATTGCATTATTTTGTGGCTGGTTATGACACATACATAAGTGTCAAAACCTACATTTATTAAAAAAAGTTTTTTCCTGACAATAAATGTCCTTTCGTTTGAACGTTTTTTTCTTAAATACTTTGTTGCTGTTGTAATGAATTCTTTAGTCATGTTTTTTTCATCATATTTTAAGTCACTTGTAGAAAATACACTTTATGACACTGTCAAGAAGCACTATGACCATCAAACATATAAGCCAGATAGGCCTATCACGTACATGCCCTTATATCAGTCATAAGTCCAAAAGAGGGTGTCTTGTCCTGCTCCTGCATTCATCCCAGTCATCAGCAACAGAGCATTCGGGTGGGCGCATGTCTGACATCAATGTGTGCGCAATTACAATGATAATTTAATATGGTCAATCAAAATATATATATATTAACATACTGTTAACACGTAGGCTAGGGTGTAATGGAATGTTTTGCCTTTTGTAGGTGTCATAACCAGCCATAAAATAACTACCGTGGTTGTTTTTGTGGGTTTTTACATTCTTATGTAGGTTTCATAACAAGCCATAAAAACAGGTCTAAATATATGTCATGACAGTGTTATGACCATATTATAACAGGTTTTGACATGGTTATGACCCTGTCGTAACGTGTTACGACGCTGGGTGTCAAGTAGCGTTACCCTTTACTTTTACTCAAGTATGACGATTGGGTACTTTTCCCACCACTGCTTATGTCATGTTAATGATATGAGTGAGTGAGAGTGACTAACAAAATCAATGGGGGCCCAATGGAGGTCTGGGCCCCTGGACACGTGCCCGGTCGGTATTCGGCCATGATTACAAGTTTAGATAACTGACTAGACTTACCAATCTAAAAATTGTTAGCTGACACGGCTAATTAAGTGACTGTCAATGAAAAAACAAGAGAAAAACTGCTGATGCACAACCAAATTTTAAAGTACACTAAACTGTCAAAACAGCCACTGTCATTTAATCAATGCATGACTGACCACTGGTGAACCACTGTGTCTCCCAACCCCCGTCTCAGTCCCCAGTTTGTATGCTGCAATAGCTTGTATGTACCAGGGGGCTAGGGTCAGCCTGTTATCTGATGCACTGTGGGAGCTCAATCACGCTCCCACTAATTTCACCCTCACCCCCCACCTCGCTACCTAACACAATCACAAAGAGTACATCAAGACAACAGACAGTAGAGTTTAGTCATGTAAGACAGTCAAGTGAGTGTCTAAATATAACAATCATGAACATAATCATAATTTAAAGTTGTATTGAATCGAATCAAAAACAACAAATCCCTCACTAACATTTCTTCAAACCTTTCAAGATCTTTATTAAGCCAAGAACATCATGAATAAAATTAAAAGTGCGTAGAAAAAATGTAACAGGTTTAGAAATGTTGTATACAACTATGTACAGACAAAGTTCGCTTTATGCCATGGTAACGGAACCATGTTCAAAACGCAGTGAGAGATTAATTGTATTTTAAATCTATTTAAATAATCCTACAGAAATAACACACACTGCATTTATTCATTACCCTGGGGCAGAGACCCCTCCAAACCCCAACTAAAATCCGAAACATGTAGATTGTGTCCTTTGACGCATGCACAGCTAGCTCAGTGCCCTAAATTGGGTTGCACATTCGAGCCAGCACAGCACGAGTTGGAAACCAAGAGCAAGTTTCAATATCCATACTAGCATATCACTTAGAATGAAGCGATATATTGGCCATGCATTCTAATTGGTATGCTACAGTCAGTGCTTGACTTGGGCTGGAACAAACAGAAACTGAGTTCCAGCACCTCAAGCACTGGCTGAAGTAGTTATTCTAACAGAGCCCAAATATTATCTTCTCTTGTTTATGTCATGGTGAGCCACTGAGGTAGTCCACCCGCGAGAGACAGGGGAGAGGAGTAGTCACAGTCAGGTAAGTAGAGGGGGAAAACAAACAGAGAAGATAAAGGACGAATAACTGAACATAGGCTTCGACCAGGTATTGAACTGTAAGCTTCATGCCCCTGTTGAAAATTAGTGGGTGTTCAGTAGCGAATATAAAGAAGGTTAATATTTGACAACACATATTTATTTATTTTAATTAGCATTTTGATTATTCATTTATACCAATATACAACAAGACATATACAAATTGGGTTGTAAAATTATAGGGAGGGAGTAGAGTACTATCAAAGCAGTTTTTTTCCCTCACCCCAAACCATATTACTTTCCCCAATATTAAAGTCTGGAAGATCATGAACAAAACGGCACAAAAACAATAGTGAAAAGAAAGTATACCTGGCAGACTAAAAACATGTTTCATTATTTCTTTCTAGAGGGGTGCGTCACAATATATGTTTTCACAGATCTAAAGCATGACATTCTAATTTCAAGTACAGGGGAGAAATGAGTGGAGAACACGTTTAAATGTAGACTCAGCAATATGATGTAGATGCAGAAAGTAAACAGCATAGTGGGTCAATTTCCGCAACTACTAAGAGCACTTAAGAACGAGGTTCACTATTTTGGTGCCCTGGCTACCACGCTGTAACAGTATGAATCGAACTTGTGCACATGTGCAGACACTTTGTGAGATCGAAGTCTTGCATCTCGCTCATCTCAATACTTGCGGTGCTGTTCGTGGCAACGTCATTTCCCTGAGTCTACCTTTAATCATGTAGGGATTTCATTAAAACATAGGTGAAAGCAACCTTTAGGTTAGTTTTCATCAGCACCTTAATAAAAGTACAACTATCTGAACCTGTCCCATGCTCATAAGAGTCTCTGGCTATGTCCTAAATGTCACCCTATTCCCTATGGGCCCTGGTCAAAAGTAGTGCACTATGTAGGGAATTTGGGATGCAGCTGTTATAATGGTCTCCATAATATTGAAATGGACAATTAAAATATAGCTGCTCTAAAATGTATACTGGAGGTGACTTGGGTCAAAGTTAAAAAATACAACAGGCTTTTTTTCTTCTTCCAATGAACAGGTCAGTATTGCCTTTTATATACAGCAACGCTTGCGCTTATGACCATGGAAAATAAGGTGCTAAAATCGGTTGCCTCCACTTGAGTGTAGCCTTGTATTGTCATAGCTACAATAACATTGAATTCCTCTTTAAAACAGAGGAATTGACTGATGAGAAAACTGAAATGAAGTACAGAACCAACCACATCTCTGGTCTAAGTGATAAGCACCACAACTATGGAATATTTAGCTCCATTTTCAGCAGAGGCCATTGACGACTGAGTCAAGAACGTAGACAAACCAAGCGAGTTGACCATGAGATGGGGTAATGTCACCAGTGTCCTAAAACACTGAAGTCTGAATCAACTGTTTCCTTGCAGGCCTAGAATACATTTTTGTTTTGTCGCAAAACACTGATAAGCTCTTCATACCACAAACGTGTTCTATCATTTGCCACCCTTTTTGGTTTCTGCGACAGAGGAAGGAGAGGCTCAAGAAGCCCTCTAGGACAGGGTTTCCCAAACTCGGTCCTGGGGCCCCCCCTGTGTGCACGTTTTGGTTTTTGCCCTAGCACTACACAGCTGATTCAAATAACCAATTCATCACCAAGCTTTGATTATTTGAATCAGCTGTGTAGTGCTGGGGCAAAAAACAAAATGTGCACCAAGGACCCCAGGACCGAGTTTGGGAAACCCTGCTTTTGGATAGAACCCCAAAATGTCTTTAAATTAAAATGCGTCATATCAGTCAGTCTTTAAATTAAACTAACTACGGAGTAGGAGGCTCCAATTCATCAGTACTTATTGGCAACCCAACTCCTATGGCCATATCATTGCATTTCCCCTGGTCTCTCCATCTCCTTCTATGAATTCAAGTACTCCAAAGTGGTGTGTTTGGTTGGTCTTCTAGTTGAGGAAGCGGCGGCAGCGCCTGGCGGCACAGTTACAGTGCAGCTTGCTGCCGTCATCCTCGATGGGGAACTTGTAGTCATAGGTGAGCTCCTCGCCGCGGTAGATCTTACGCAGGGCGAAGATGACAATGTGCTTGTGGCTGTCCACGAGGATGACACGTGAATAGCAGTTGGGCTCGCACGAGTGGTTGATGAAACGGGCGGCGTTGCCGTGCATGGTGGCGTCAACCACATCAAAGTCATCAATGCGGAACATGTAACAGCCGATGCCCTGACGAGGAGATAAGAGGGTTTTAGAAGCCAAAGATAATATTTAATTAAAAACCCAAAGGGGAAATGTTTGCACCAGCTATAAAAACACCAATAAATATACTATAAATACACAAGACACACACTATAAGCCGCACATCATGAATACATGTAAAAAATCTAAGCGTGCAGATTAAACTGTATTATCGCAAATGGTAAAAATATATTTAGTTATTGAATGAAATTTGATGCATTGCTGTATTTTTTGTATTGTTTTATTTTCTGAAACAAGATGCATTGCTGTATTTTTTTGCATTGTATTTTCTGAAATTAGATGGATTGCTGTATTTTTTGCATTGCTGTATTTTCCTAAATGAGATGCATTGCTGATGAGACCTTGATCACTCCATTGATTTTGTTGACCAACCTTGCTGTCATAGTATTTCTCTTTCTTGTCTGTGAGAACAGCACGGATGACGTTGCCTGCGTACTCGATCACCATCTCCCCTGCCTCAATGTTCCTCTTGCAGAACAGACCACGTCCGTGAATTTCAGACCTAGGATAAGGAAAATATCAAAGAAAGAGTGAAAGAGAAAAATAGTAAGTATGAAGTATTTTACCCTAAAAAACAAAGTAATCATAATAGTAATAATATGAATAGTATAATATTATCTCTTATTTACCTGTAAACCCCTACTGCTTCCTTGGAGGTCTTCTCCAGGTGTCTGAAGCGCATAGCCATGGGAAGCTCTGTGCTGGTGGCTCGTCTATTAGATAGGAACATGGAGAATACAGTAGGTTAGAACTTATTTCACTCAGAAAAAAACGAACAATAATAAAGATACACCATAAATAATAATATAATATGCCATTTAGCAGACGCTTTTATCCAAAGCGACTTACAGTCATGTGTGCATACATTTTTACGTATTAACTCAATGGTAATTGTGGAGTTGTCTAACCTAGTGGATTTCAGTGGGACATCGTCATCCTCCTCGTCACATGGCGTCGACATGATGTCAGGCAGCTGTCTGTGTTGAGATGCCAAGAAGTTGAACATGTCGAAGGTTGACTTCCTGTGAGGGAACAGAGGCAGAGAGGGAATTTGTTATAGCTGCAGTCATTTCATCTTCTAAATGCAGGAGATGTAGGATTCAGGCTACAACATTCAGATTCAATGACTTTACATTTTCTGACAGTAAGCTTAAAAATGAAAATAACCTCTACATTCAATTAAGGGATAAAATTATGGCGATCTTATGGCGAGATGACTCGGTCCTCAACATGCCTATTTTAACCACAGACATCAGTGCTTGGTTCTTACCGCGAGTAGACCTCGGCGCGGGCACAGCCGCTGGGGTTGATGGGCAGCTCGTCGTCGAGGGTGTCGTAGCGGTGGAAGCGAAAGCGATGTTGTTTACACCCGGCGGCGCCCTGCAGCTGCTCCAGTATGAAGATGACAGCGTCGTGGAGCAGGCCCAGAACCCGCGCCCCGCTCACTCCTCCAAGGGGCAAAGCCTTCAAATGGAACCCTGCTCGGGCCTCCAGGACGCCGTCAGTCACCGCTCGCCACGCCACTGAGGGAGGGAGAGGCAAGAAAGAAAAAAAAGGATATGAATAACAAAGTAAAAAAATTATACTACACTGGGTCAGTTTACTGGACTCAGATTAAGCCTAGTCTGGGACTTAAAAGCCAGTACCAACAGATCCTGCATAGAGAACACTTTTATATAGAAATAGGAATAGCTATACAGTGCCTTGCAAAAGTATTCATCCTCTTTGGCATTTTTCCTATTTTGTTGCACTACAACCTGTAATTTAAATTGATTTTTATTTGGATTTCATGTCATGTACATACACAAAATAGTCCAAATTGGTGAAGTGAAAATATTTTTATTTTTTTCTAAGAATTCTACAAAATAAATAACGGAAAAGTGGTGTGTGCATATGTATTCACCCCCTTTCCTATGAAGCCCCTAAATAAGATCTGGTGCAACCAATTACCTTCAGACGTCTCATAATTAGTTAGATTGCACACAGGTGGACTTTATTTAAGTGTCACATGATCTGTCACATGATCTCAGTATATATACACCTGTTCTGAAAGGCCCCAGAGTCTGCAACACCACTAAGCAAGGGGCACCACCAAGCAAGCGGCCCCATGAAGACCAAGGAGCTCTCCAAGCAGGTCAGGGACAAAGTTGTGGAGAAGTACAGATCAGGGTTGAGTTATAAAAAAATATCAGAAACTTGGAACATCCCACGGAGCACCATTAAATCCATTATGGAAAAATTGAAAGAATATGGCACCACAACAAACCTGCCAAGAGAGGGCCGCCCACCAAAACTCACAGACCAGGCAAGGAGGGCATTAATCAGAGAGGCAACAAAGAGACCAAAGATAACCCTGAAGGAGCTGCAAAGCACCACAGCGGAGATTGGAGTATCTGTCCATAGGACCACTTTAAGCCGTACACTCCACAGAGCTGGGCTTTACGGAAGAGTTGGCAGAAAAAAGCCAGAGATTTGAGACTGGGACGGAGGTTCACCTTCCAGCAGGACAATGACCCTAAGCATACTGCTAAAGCAACACTCGAGCGGTTTAAGGGGAAACATTTAAATGTCTTGGAATGGCCTAGTCAAAGCCCAGACCTCAATCCAATTGAGAATCTGTGGTATGACTTAAAGATTGCTTTACACCAGCGGAACCCATCCAACTTTGAAGGAGCTGGAGCAGTTTTGCCTTGAAGAATGGGCAAAAATCCCAGTGGCTACATGTGCCAAGCTTATAGAGACATACCCCAAGAGACTTGCAGCTGTAATTGCTACAAAAGATGGCTCTACAAAGTATTGACTTTGGGGGGGTGAATAGTTATGCAAGCTCAAGTTCAGTTTTTTTGTCTTATTTGTTGTTTGTTTCACAAATAAAATTGTGCATCTTCAAAGTGGTAGGCATGCTGTGTAAATCAGATGATACAACCCCCCCCAAAATCCATTTTAATTCCAGGTTCTAAGGCAACAAAATAGGAAAGATGCCAAGGGGGTTGAATACTTCCGCAAGCCACTGTATCTACAACTACTGTTTCTGTAGTTAGGCTGAGATTCTTACCCTCTATGCTGTCTGCCTGTACATGGAAGCCATCATCGCTGGTGATCTCAAAGCGCAGGTGGGGCTGGTTCCTGTGGGCGAACCTTGTCTTGTCCTGTTTAGGTGGCGACATGTCGTCGTCTGAGCTAAAACCTGAGCGGTTTGAAGTGTGTTAAGAATAGGAAGGTTAAGTCAGATTTTTTTTAATCAGAAATTATAAATATCATTCATAACAACAGACTTCAAATATGGGTTTTGGTTGAATAAAAAAAAGAGGATTGCCCACCTGAGTAGGGACCCCAGTCAGAGAGATCTCCATGGCGCGCACTGACCCACACGTGGGTTTTCCCATGGATGTTGCTGCTACTCTGAGTGGTGCTGCTGCTGGGTGGACGATCCATCTGAGGTATGGGAGGTGGTCTATAGGACAGAACACAGACATGGTGTTATATTAATTAATTAAAACTAAGCTGTAATAGAGTTTAGATATTGCTGTGCTACTGAAAGCTTCTATGGAAAGGGGTGCTCATCTGGGTTAAATCGTTCCAAAAAAGAAATGTGATGGTGGACTGACTGTATTAATAAAAGAGCACCTATGTACGCTTATGGGTCATGGTGGAGACAAAAAGATCAGCTAGGCTAATCCGTTCCCTCATTTTTTCATTTAGTTCCCTTAATATAAAAAGTAATTCCCTCAATTTTATTAAGACATTCCCTTAATTTATGAATTTGTTCGCTCAATCATGTAATTGTCCTCTGAATCGGCATTCTGTCGCACTCTGCACCCCTTTCCCAGAAATCCAGAAACTTGCTGCTGTGTGTGTGTTTGCATGTGTGCGTGCGTGACTAATTTAGTTGGTAGCTAGGCATCTTGCTCGCTATAGCTGTATAGCGACTTAGCCAACCAGGCACAGATAGAGCCAGAGCCGCTTTAAACCATCTACGTTCATAACTAAAACTGATAGCTATTTGCTTTGTTGCGATGACAGTACGTTCACCTGGATATTAGCCAATTGTCAAGCTAGGATAGGTAGCTAACGAACTCTGCCGGAGTATAGACAGACTATAGAACAGCTAATATCATAGAGCAGATCCAGACGGAATTCCTGCCTAGTGCAGGGATGAGAGCACATCATTGCACCTGTTAACACCGAAGCCTCTTGGAAATTATGCACAATAAATTCACATGACTTTCCCTTCTGCCTTTGATGATTCACATGCACAATTGTTAACAATCATAAACACATCCAAGCGCTTGGCTGGTGCCATGTTTTACTGGACGTATAGCCCTAACTATATGCATGAGGCCGGTAAAACACTGGGTCGCAGGGATGAGAGGCGCGCAAAATGGACAATGTTCATGTTGTCCAAGTGGCATGAATCTGAGTTTGCACAAAGTGTATTTGGTTTGCATCATTCAGTTATGACTGCTAGCGAGGCTCCTCATTTTTCAGGCTATTGAAATTACTTTGCCTAATTAAGGGGTTTTGCATGCTATTATTTGCCCTTATGATTCGTATGCATATGAAAACATTGAAACTGGAAATAAGCTGTTGAATGGTCAGCGATCATCACCATGTGAAGCATGTAATTAACTAAATAGAATTACATTTAGGCTGCAATTATGTTATCGGCCAAGTGGGAATGGGACTGTGGTAGGCCTACATAAGGTGAATGCCATTCTTATAAGCCTAGAGATAGGCTACACAAATCCTCAAGGAGTCAGGAGTAGCTTATCATTTGAACGATCATTTATAAAGTCAGCCATGGTTCTGAAAGGGGAGTAAAAAGTCAGTAAGAGTGAGGTTATCAACAACATATTCAAACAACAAAAAATCTTTGAAACAAGTATTTCGCTGCACTTGCTATTACATCTGCAAATCTGTGTACGCGACTAATACACTTTGATTTTATTTATTTCAAGCCCAGATTGAAGAAGAATTCAATTAACTCTGATCAATCCATGATAAGGACATCTGCTCGAATCTGCAGGGGAGAACCAAGGGAAAAAATTAATAAATTAAGGGAATGGATTAATAGAATTGAGGGAGCGGCTTTTTATATTCAGGGGGGAAATATTATATTGAGGGAATGGATTAGCCTGGGTGTTGTTCTTTTTCTTCACCATAACCACTAAGACCTATGCATCATACAATTATTTTTGGGATTTAAAATTAACCTTGCAGTGTGTATTTGTGGCATCCATCTTGCTATGGTCGTGTTTGAGAAGAAACTAACCTGATCTTCTCAGGTTCTGGTGGTGAGATGACCTTGAGCTCAACTTTCTCCTGGTCCAGATCCAGCACATCTTTCATTGTTGGGGCTTTGATACGAACGCCACTATTTCTGTGTGAGGAAAACAACAGTGGCTTTTAGTCTGTAAAAATCTATCAATCAATATCTTCGTTGTCCCAATTGGAAAATGTGTAGTGCAGTCAGGGTTACAAGATTAAAAGTAAAATAATACATCTCATATTGTACATATGGTACTCTGCCTTACCTGCTGCCATCTAGGTCATCCAGGTCACAAGAGGGCGACTGCGGCAGGAAATCAGTCTTGCATTTCTTCTTGCCGGGACGCTCAGCGACGGAGGACACTCTCTTGACGCGGACCTGGGACTGGGAGTGGGACTCGGGTACAGTGGCTGGCTCGTGGCGGAGCATCTGTCCATGAGCGGCTGAGATGGCTACAGGGGACTGGAGCTTGTTGAAGAAGGGCTGGACCTGGAACTGGGATGGGCTCAGGTGGGACGGGCTCACCCTGAGGATATTAGGCCGTATCCGAGTGGGCTCGCGATGAGTAGCCATGGCTCTGTCTAAAATAGCTTGGGCCTGGTTGCCGGGCACAGAGACGCACTTGACCCTCACTGGTTCACTCGTCACGGGCATGGCTTGGACCAGCACTCGCCCATCATGCAAACTCTGTGGGGCCCTGATCAGGAGATTGGTGTTGCTTGCTGGTGTGGTGTTATTTCTGTTAGAGATGGTGGTTGGTGTGGTGGTGTTGTTTCTGTTACTGGTGATGAGATGTGAACTATGGAAGACGGCTGTCCGTGGTGAGGGTGTTGACGTAGAGGGTACGACCACCACCTGTGGAACTGCGCGCGGCAGGGCACCACTGCTGTGGATCATCTTGGCGATCTGGCTGATGCGGCTGTAGGAAGGGGAGCTGGTGCTGACCGTCTGGAAGGTGTTGGTATTTGGATCTTTCATCAGAATCTGACCTTGACGGTTGACTAGCAGAACCTGAGGGGACGGGGCTGAGTTGGAGGCACCAGACAGAATAGTGGCCGTCAGCTGCTGCTGAGCTTCTTGTCTAGGGGTGGCCAGGCGGATAGCGATAGCTCTGCCCCTAGTGGCACCTGTCTGTAAGGGTATAGAGTTCATGCCGTTTATTACAAACTGGGTCGGGAAGGTGGTGGAGGGGACTGTCCTTGGAACGGTTCGAACAGCGATGGGTGGGGAAGAGGAGGCTACATTCAGAGGCAGAGCAGGTCCAGAGGGTAGGGTCACCCTGATGACTTTCTTCTGCGTTGGTGTGGGTTTAGGTTGAATAGTTTTCATGCTCACAGGACTAGGGCGTTGCATGACTTTGATGGTTTTTACAGGAGGTGATTTTTGGTTTGGTTTGGGTTCCGGCTCGAAGTCTGGGTCTCCCATCTCGTCATCCACTCCAACGAGAGAATCTGTAGAGGAGCCAGAGCTGTCACTATCGCTGTCATCAAGAGCTGCTTTTTTATTATTAGCCAGGTACACTCTGGTGCCGTCGTCAGCCGAAACAAAATGGCCACTACTGGGGTCCAGAAGAACCTCATTCTGGGATTCAGTTTGGTCAGAGTCCACCAGAACCTCCTCTTCAATAGACATGTCATTATTTGGGTCACAGGTTTCAAACACTTGTTGACTGTCAGCCCCCTGAGCTTCCCCACTCTTCCCCTCTTCGTGAGTTTCTTCCTGATCGCCGGTAGCCTCACTCGAGTCACTCTCAGAGCCGTTATCTGCTCCATCAAGCTGTGCGATGGACTGAGACGTAGGTGGTGGTGGGGGGAGAGGGAGACCTGCCTGCCCTGAGTCCTTGGAGGCTTCACACACCACCACCGTACGAGAGAACTTCAAGTAGTGATCCATGTCTTCGTCTGAGGAACCATTCTCCAGATCATCTTTAGAGGCCATGGCTTTAATTAATACTGGGGCCTTGTTGTTGGCATCCATGTTGTCCCTACCCTGAGTCTGGCTCTGGGTCTCCTCCTCTAGTGCCTCCTCTTCCATATCTCCTCCACCTGTCTGGGACCCTCCACAGTGAAGCGCCACATTCTCGTTCAGCAAGGCCTCGTCAAACTCCAGCTTGGCATTTAGCACCGAGGCCACCGCCACGTCTGCGTCAGCCACATCAAATGTTGTGAAGGGCAAGTCCTGATCCGACATCAGGGGGCTGACGTCTGTGTCTTCCTCCATGTTATTTGCTGTCAATGTGATTCCGTTTGAGGGCGCCTCCACTGCTTTCTCTGGCTCGGATGAAGCTAAAAAGTATTGTGGCACCTCAGCAGACACTGGAGTTTTGATTTTGAATGGCTGTCTGATCCTGGAGGAGTGGCGGAAGGCCAAAGGGAGGTTGGAGGGAGGGCTGCCGGCGGCGCCAGGCCGCAGGGAGAGAGGAGAGGTAAGACTGGAGAGGGACAAGGGAGGGGAGCCCCAGCTGGAGGAGCCAGCACAAGGTCGTACTCGCCGATGGGAACTCAGGAGGTTTTCGCTGGTTCTGGGAGGGGAGCTGAAGGGGAGGGACCTGGGGTGGAGGGTGCCCCCTGAACGGAGCGTCATTGGTCCCGCGAGGCTGTCGGTGGGGGAGGAGGAGTCCCCTGAGTGGCAGCTCAGAGACAGGCGACGCGGCCGGCGGGTATCGTCCAGGTCTCTGAGAGTCAAGATGTGGTGGGATTTGGACATGGCACTCCCTAGAGAGAAGAGGATCACCAGTCAGTGTCATGGTGGAAGAGTGATATTAACATTATACATTGAGGTCATTTAGCAAACTCTTATCCTAAGCGACTTACAGTCAGTGCATTCAATTTAAGGTAGCTAGGTAAGACAACATATTAAATAAAAACTTTCCTCAATAAAGCAGAGATATTTAGCTGTTAACTGACCTAGATATTAAACTGATATGAACTGGCATTGATATCAAACTTAATGTCTAAGGGAGCAGTGTTACCTGGGGAGGGAAGAGGTCGAGATGTTCCTCCTGCTGGTCTCCTGGTTTGTGAATAACCTGGGGTTTTGGCCCCAGGCTCCTGTTTCAGGGGAGACGAGGTGGTGCTGGGAGATACATCAATGGGCGGAGGACTCATCACAGCCTCTGTAATCTCCATTTCTGGTCAAGGAACAAAAAAGGAGCATTATTAACTTTGAAGAGTCCACTTTGAGAATTAGTAGATTGTCCCCTTTGAATAGGAAATATTGAACGATCCTCATGTACTTAAGTTGTTATACTTATCCATTTATTTCAATAGAAAATAAAGAAATATAAAATATGGGACATCAAGGTTATCCATTGAAGTGCTCCATCCTACTCCAAGATAGGGGCAGGTTAGGTGTATGGGTTTGCTGACCTTTGTAGTAGCTGGGGCTGTGGGCTATGGTTTGGTTCTCCTCCTGGTCCCACCACAGTGGTTCCCCTGGCTTCTCTGGGAGTGGAGAACACACCTCTGTCACCTTACAGGTGTACTTACAGCGCCGCCGAGGGTCCACTGTGCTCCAGTACAGCCGAGAGCACCTGAACGGAGGAAGGGAGGGAGGGAAGGGAAGGAGAAGAGGGAAAAGGTGAGTAAAGTAAAATATATAAAACAACCCAATATTTTAAAATGAACTCGAGGGAAGTTATCCAACAAAGTAACTCAGGAGTTTTATATTACCATTCTCATAAATCTTATATTAACAGTATATTAAACAAGACAATGACAACCCTGATTACATTATTCACAAATTGACTATTCAAAACAACAGGAATCAAAATGGATGCTGTCGATGTCTAGTCACGTGGATTATTGGTCACTTACTGATAGCCCACAGGACACAACCTCGCTCCATTGGCTGATAGTTCAGTCAGCACACCCAGCCTGTTGATCTGCAGAGAGCCTGGATATAGAAGGAAACAGATGGATGGTTTCAAAGGGTTTCACAAATAAAAAGGGGAATGATGGTTGGCGGTAATATAAATTAAATCCCTTACTGGCAATACTTTTAAAGCATATGGGTCACACCATCCAAATCAAAAGCAGGGAGCGCATTGACATTGTCACAAATGGCACCCTATTCCCCAATGTAGTGCACTACTTTTGACCAGAGCCCGGGGCTCATTAATCCTTTACACTCGTACCCGTATACAGGTTAAAAATGGTAGATTTGGACAGTGATATGTTCCTAAATTGGAACGCAGTGGCTGTACAGTAACATGCTATACATGACGTCAGAGCTCAGGGTCTCCGCTTCACAGCTCTGTATGGGTTTTGACTGACAGCCGTTCTGAATTTGAGCACTGCGCGCGACGAGAGGTTTTGCAAATGTTTTTTTGTTTGAGTGAGAGAACTGCTGTAAATTAAGAGGACTTTGTATTTTGAATGATGAGACGTAGAGGATTATAATAAATACCAGTTTTATGTCATACAAGCAAGTCCAAATGTGCTCTTCACATTTCCATATAAAACTCATGTCATATACAGTGTCAACGTTTACGATCACTATGTTTGATGTACAGTTACAAGATGACATGGCTTCATGCCCTGGGTTGTCCTTAACAGAATGAGCCTGTTTGTTGTATTGTGAAGAACATTTGCCACGGACCATGCATCTGAATGCACTCATGACTCCTTTCTATGCACACAAAAGTTACGATCTGCTTCTCTGAATTGCCTTGTGAAAGCCTAACACTAAGATCTAGCATGTCATGTTCGTAATAGAACAAGCTTTTATATGATGCCCACCTGACCCAGATTACAATTTATAATGGACCGTTTTTGGATTGCATAAACAGTAATTGTGTGATGGCGGGAATGCAGGGCTGTGTTCCAAACAAAACAACTACAAGTGTGCTTGCTCTAGTTCCTCAAAAGGCATAGCTAGGAGAGCTCAAAAAAGCACCTTATAGTTGAAGACTCTTCTTTGAGTCATAAAAGTGCCTTGAATTTACTAAGGAACTGTGTACACTTTGGAGAGGTGTGGCCACTTGGAGACACCAGTTTGACCTCTCACTCAAACCCTTTGCATTTTTTTGGGGTCTTATGTTGAATCTAGGGATGGGCGGTATACCGGTATGAATGTGAATACCAGTATGACGTTGTGCCATGATATGGATTTTGCCATATCGTGCATATCATGATAAATTAATGCATGAAATAAGGCGTTTTTGTTTCGTTCAAAAATTCTGTTGAGTGATACAGCCTAGTGGGCTAGTTCAAATGGTTTATTTTACTAGAAACAGCCTTTTTTAGCAAAGAAAAAAGCTAGAAGCATGGACGTTACACGCAATCTGCCTGCCAATCAGAGTCAACAAACAAGCGCAACTGCAGAGTAAGCGAACATTTAGTGAAGTAAACTCCTTTCGTTAGCAAAAGTGTCCGAAAATAACGATATTGAGGTTGATTTGCAAGATGACGAAGAATTGGTTGGAAAAAAGGGGGCCTCCTCTGTCGTTTGGAACTGGTTTGGCTTTAAGATATCCGACCTCGGCCAACACACAGTACTGTGTACGTTGTGTAGACGCTTTGTGCTAGCCAAAAGGTCGAAACACCAGCAATCTTTTTCACCACCTGAAAATCCTGCATGTTCGCGAATATGAAGAATCTACCAGAATGCGTGCAACAAACACCCGGAGCAGCAGAGCAAGTCACAAGACATCTTCAAGCCAGACCCGCACTCAGCTGTCACTCATTACATTTACATTTTAGTCATTTAGCAGACGCTCTTATCCAGAGCGACTTACAGTTTGTGAGTGCATACATTCTTTTTTATTTTTCATACTGGCCCCCCGTGGGAATCGAACCCACAACCTTGGCGTTGCAAACGCCATGCTCTACCAACTGAGCTACATCCCTGCCGGCCATTCCCTCCCCTACCCTGGACAACGCTGGGCCAATTGTGCGCCGCCCCATGGGTCTCCCGGTCGCGGCCGGCTACGACAGAGCCTGGATTCGAACCAGGATCTCTAGTGGCACAGCTAGCACTGCGATGCAGTTCCTTAGACCACTGCGCCACTCGGTGCCCAAGGCGTCATTCGTTAGTGGTACTCTCTACGACAAGAAGAGCAAGAAGTGGAATGCGATAACGAGTGCAATTACGTATCACATAGCGAAAGACATGGAACCAATTCAAACTGTGAAGAAAGACTGTTTCAGAAAGTTGATTTGAGGTCTAGACCCAAGATACGAGATCCCGAGCCGCAAATACTTCAGCAAAACATGTCTGCCAGAACTCTATACAGAATGTCGGGACAGAGTTGCCAACGAAATCTGTAACGCTGAATTATTCTCTACCACTGCAGATTTATGGTCAAGCCGGACCACAGAGCCATACATTAGCCTCACGATTCATTACATTGACGACAACTGGAAGCTGCAAAGCAAATGCCTTCAGACCTCTTATTTCCCAGATGACCACACCTGAGAAATAATTGCAGCTGGGCTGAGGGAGGCACTTTCATGCTGGGGCTTGAAAGAGTCACGTCAAGTATGTATGACTACCGACAGCGGATCGAACATGGTCAAAGCATTGGAGCTGAACAAATGGACAAGACTAGGGTGTTTCGGACACAGGCTACACATTGCTATTGGTAAGTTTCAATGTCCAAAACACATAGAGCTAGGTAGAAAAATAATGTAACTTTTAAAAAAACATAAAATGCAGAATAACTATTGTATTCCTTATCTCCTCTGTTTAAAGTTAGAGCTGACTACACTGCCTGATCCTTCTTATACGTTAAGCCGGATATATACAGCTATGCAAATCTAGAATATTTGTAATTTGTAAATGTGTGCAATATCCAAACATTACATGGATTACAGTGCTTTTATTTATAATTGATACATTAGCCTATGGTTTCAATATATGAATCTATCCTCTCTTTAAATAATAAATAGCCTACTCAATAAATGATCCCGTTTTCTAAAGCAACATAGCTCTCTTAATCACAACAGTTGTTTGTAAATCTATAGATGGATTAAATGTGTAATCATGTCCAGTGTCCATGCTGTAAATTGTTGTAATTACAGCAGATGCTATGTTATTTCTATTGAATAATTGTGATTCATATGTCATTATTTTTCACCTTTTTATTTTGCAGAGAGGAGTGTCCAAAACAAACCTCGGGTTTCCTGGGCCACAGGAGTGTGCAAGAAAGTGGTCAGCACATTTTCCTATAGTTGGAAGAAGCAGAAGGCCCTGACAAGTGCACAGGATAAACTGAGCCTGGCCCTCCACAAGCTCATCACGGAATCCCTGACAAGGTGGGGATCTTGACTGCAGATGATGGAAAGAGTCCTGGAGCAGGAAAAGGCCATCACACAAGTCCTGGCAGCAGGCAAAATAACACGTGACCTTGCACCCTCCTGGCAAGACATTGAGGTCTTTGAATCTATCACGGCAGCACTTAAGCCCCTCCAGGATTTCACAGATGCCCTGTCAGGAGAGACATACGTGAGTGTGTCCTATCTGAAGCCGGTCCTCCATTTGTTCAAGACGGAGGTTCTCAAATCAAATGAGGGCGAAGCCAAACTGACCGGAGAGATTAAGATGAGGGTCCTCAATTAACTGAATGACGAATACACCGACCCTGAAACAGATGAGCTGCTCACCATGGCTACCTTTCTGTATCCAAGGTTCAAGACCACCTACATGACCACTGAGAAGCTGGTGGAGGTGAAGGTGAGAGCTGCCTCCGAGACAGAAGCCCTCCTGGTAGGGAACACAGCCGTGGGAGACGTCTCTTTTGAAGAGGACCAGAGTGAGAGAGAGAAAGAAGCTACCACTGCTCCACAATCAGCAAAGAAGTCCAAGAAGAGCCTTGCGAGCTTCTTTAAGAAAACCAGTAGTGTACCTGCGTTAAGAACCCAGAGACAGGTCATCAAGCAATGGCTGGACAGCTACACTCTGATGATGGCAGCAGACACTGAGGCTGATCCTTTGGAGTGGTGGCAAGTTCACGCATCCAACTTCCCACAATTTAGTTGTCTGACAAATAAATACTTATGCATCCCTGCCACAATGCGCCCTCTGAGAGAGCATTTAGCACTGGGGGCAATGTGGTCACATGTCACAGGGCAACTTTGAAGCCAGAAACTGTCAATAGGCTGGTGTTCCTGGCAAGGAACTTGTGAAGATGGAGGCAGTGAATTGTTACATGCTGAACTGAGAAACATACAGACTGTCTGGTTAATGCTTGAAGTTAATTTGAAAAGGTTTACAACTTGAATTTATAATGACCAGTGTTATATGAAAAAAGGCTGCACTTCTTATAATTGGCAGGGAAAGGTTTACATCCTGAGTACTTTAAATATTTGTTCATAAAATGTTACTGCATATTTATTTAACTCATATACCTTTGTTTATGTTTCATGTTTGCACAGGTTTACCACAGAAGTAAAACAAATAATACTTTTTTAAATGTGCAATGCCCCCTTTCTGTTTCTATAAGGTTAAAAGCAATATTTAGTAATTTATTAACTTTGAAGGGCTCATAAAATGTAAAAAAAAATGTTTTACAGTATATCGTGATATATCGTTATCTTCCGGACAGTGGAAAATATCGTGAAATGAATTTTTGTTCATATCGCCCACCCCTAGTTGAATCTACCCCACATTTTTCAATAATATTCTTATTAAGTTACTGAATGTATCCATAGTATTTTCAGATTTCGTTATCAACAAATGCAGCGAAAAGTACAGTAAATGTAAAATGCACATAAAATCAACAGTGTAATGTTTGGTGAACTGCTGTGTCCTCACCTTTAGTCTAATAATTTCCCCATAATATCCAAACTGTTCCCTTTTAATTGCTACCATGGTAATGCATTTCCATATTTCTTCAGTAAAAAATATTTATTTTTAACCCTATCCATATAGGCCAATTCCCACAAGTGTAAAGGGTTAAAACTAGTGCACTCCATAGGGAATAGGGTGCCATTGGGGATGTACCATACTCACCGATGGTCATATTTATAGACTCTGGCTCCAGGCCAGTCAGAAACTTCCTACGGAGGCTGATCCCTTCGAAGTCCACGTAGACCCGCCGGAGAACATCAAACCCATTCCCAGACACCATCTGGAGAGGAGGGGAAAAGGGAGCGTAAATCCTGAGACGTAGGTGTTTGTGTCCTGAGACATAACATATGCCCTAATGCTACACAATAAGTTTGAATGCTGCTGACCACAGTGAAAGTGGTGGTGCTCACGGTTGGAAAGATAACTATATGTTTGTTTCTCTCTCTGTGTGTGTGTGCCTCATTAGCCCATATATAAAGGTTCACCTTCTCACTGACAAGGTCGCGGTGCCTGGAGCAGAAGACCTTCCTGTCCTCCTGGAAGACACAGTTGCGGGCGCGGGCGCACATGAAGTGGTAGTTACTCTGGCAAGACGAGAGACAGCAGCCCACCGTCGCCCCCGCCTGGCCACAACGCTCACAGCGCTGTAGGGAAGAAAGGTGGAACGAGTGGAAGGAGAGGAAAGAAAACAGAGAATGATAAAAACGCTGACTTGCAAATTCTCTTATTGGAACAATAAAGTTGATGTTATCTTATGACAATGTTACAAACGGGCAACTGCACACTTATGCCTGAATACAAAGCCTATTGGGTAAGGATGTACTGCAGCTTTGGTATGTGGGAGGTGTCCCAAATGTCACCCTATTTCCTACATTGTTCACTATGGGCCCTGGTCAAAAATAGTGCACTATATAGGACCCTGGTCGAAAGTAGTGCAGTTTATAGTGAACAGGGTGCCATTTGAGATGCAACTATGGTGAAGTTCTATGCATTCCTACCATGTAGCGCCCCCTGGAGACAGCACTGTGTACTTGGAGCAGAGCTCCGTTGTCTTCGTACACCTCAGCAGACCACAGGCAGCAGTTAACGTGGGCCCACTCGTTCTGCCCCAGGTACAGCAGTCTGCCCGCATCCTACAATAAAGACAAGGACATTCAGATTTAGAGTGGACCCGAGACAACATTCTGGGTTGTCTGAATAGCTGGTAATACCATTACTGTGGGAATGATGTACTACAGCAGTGTTTCACAACTCTGGTCCTTGAGTACCCCCAAACAGAATACATTTTTGTTGTAGCTGCATAGAAGACACATAATTCAACTAGTCAAGTGCTTGATGATTAGTTGACTAGTTTAAATGTGTTCCCTTTCAGTCTGTCAACTGCAGTACAACATACTATGGGGGAGTTGAACTCTCGCAACTTTGGTTTAAGGATCCACAATCACACCTAACAAGGCCAATGAATCGGTGTCTCGCTGGAAGCCCCTCCTTCCACAGGTTTTAAGCGCGAGACGGATTCATTCTTTCAATTATTCCGCTCTTCACCTTGGTGTGTACACAAACATTTCACGCTACTAAAATAAACTGTCCCTTAGTGGTAGAGCGTGCTCACCCCCTGGACGTTGTGCGCTGAAGTTTGTATGGTTCTCAAAAGTTTCCCAATCACAAACAATTAGTTATTCTTCAGATTCCTTGGCCTGCCTATAGCAATACGTAAGATAGCTAACGAGACCGAAACGAAAAAAGCCAAGAAGCCAGGTTCAGGACCATGCCCCAATTAATTAAAATATACTAATGTTTGGACACACCTACTCATTCAAGGGTTTTTCTTTATTTTTACTATTTTCTATATTATAAAATAATAGTGAAGACATCAAAACTATGAAATAACATGGAATGAAGTAGTAACCAAAAAAGTGTTAAAGAAATCAAAATATATTTTATATTTCAGATTCTTCAAATAGCCACCCTTTGCACACTCTTGGCATTCTCTCAACCAGCTTCATGAGGAATGCTTTTCCAACAGTCTTGAAGGAGTTCCCACATATGCTGAGCACTTGTTGGCTGCTTTTCCTTCACTCTGCGGTCCAACTCATCCCAAACCATCTCAAATTAGGTTGAGGTCGGGTGATTGTGGAGGCCAGGTCATCTGATGCAGCACTCCATCACTCTCCTTCTTGGTCAAATAGCCCTTGCACAGCCTGGAGGTGTGTTTTGGGTCATTGTCCTGTTGAAAAACAAATGATAGTCCCACTAAGCGCGAACCAGATGGGATGGCGTATCGCTGCAGAACGCTGTGGTAGCCATGCTGGTTAAGTGTGCCTTGAATTCTAAATAAATCACAGACAGTGTCACCAGCAAAGCACCCCCACACCATCACACCTCCATGCGTCATGGTGGGAACCACACATGTGGAGATCATCCGTTCACCTACTCTGTGTCTCACAAAGACACGGCAGTTGGGACCAAAAATCTCAAATGTGGACTTATCAGACCAAAAGACAGATTTCTACCGGTCTAATGTCCATTGCTTGTGTTTCTTGGCCCAAGCAAGTCTCTTCTTATTATTGGTGTCCTTTAGTAGTGGTTTCTTTGTAGCAATTCCTCTGAACAGTTGATGTTGAGATGTATCTGTTACTTAAACTCTGAATCATTTATTTGGGGTGCAATTTCTGACACTGGTAACTCTAATGAACTTATCCTCTGGAGCAGAGGTAACACTGGGTCTTCCTTTCCTGTGGCGGTCCTCATGAGAGCCAGTTTCATCATAGCGCTTGATGGTTTTTGCGACTGCACTTGAAGAAACTTTCAAAGTTCTTGACATTTTCCGGATTGACTGAACTTCATGTCTCAAAGTAATGATGGACTGTTGTTTCTCTTTGCTTATTTGAGCTGTTCTTGCCATAATATGGACTTGGTATTTTACCAAATAGGGCTATCTTCTGTATACCCCCCCTACCTTGTCACAACACAACTGATTGGCTCAAAACGCATTAAGAAGGAAATAAATGTTTAACAAGGCACACCTGTTAACTGAAATGCATATGTAGGAACTCTTTCAAGACTGTTGGAAAAGCATTCTAGGTGAAGCAGGTTGAGAGAATGCCAAGAGTGTGCAAAGCTGTCATCAAGGCAAAGGGTGGCTACTTTGAAGAATCTCAAATGTAAAATAGATTTTGATTTGTTTAACACTTTTTTGGTTACTACATGATTCCATATGTGTTATTTCATAGTTTTGATGTCTTCACTATTATTTTACAATGTAGAAAATAGTAAAAATAAAGAAAAACCCTGGAATGAGTAGGAGTGTCCAAACCTTTGACTGGTACTGTATGTCTCAGCGCATGCTCAGGCTGCCCTCACTTGAATCAGTTTGTGTGCGAGATTAAGAGACGGCTGGCACTGTTCCCCTACTAGTCCGCGGCGCAGGTTCTCTTGACAATCGTGTAGCATTCTTTAAAGGGCTTGGTGTTTCCGATAATGACTTCCTCTCCCAGGTGCCTGTACCTCAGCTGAGTCGGAGTTAGGGGACGCGGAGAGGGATTGGGTCGTTTGGTTACGGCCAAACAGGGTGCTACGTCAGCCATTGCCCACTGTGTAGGGCTGGGCGATATATTGAATTATACTGACCAAAAATATAAACATGTAAAGTGTTGGTCCCATGTTTCATGAGCTGAAATAAAAGATCCCAGAAATGTTCCATACAGACAAAAAGCTTATTTCTATCAACTTTTGTACACAAATTTGTTTACATCCCTGTTAGTGAGCATTTCAACTGTACTGGGCAGATGGCGTTGTGTGGCAAGCGATTTGCGAACAGAGTGCCCCATGGTGGCGGTGGGGTTATGGTATGGGCAGGCATAAGCTACGGACAACGAACACAATTGCATTTTAAAATTGATAGTAATTTGAATGCACAGAGATACCGTGATAAGATCTTGAGGCCCATTGTCGTGCCATTCATCCGCCGCCATCACCTCATGTTTCAGCATGATAACGCACAGCCCCATGTCGCAAAGATCTGTACACAATTCCTGGAAGCTGAAAATGTCCCAGTTCTTCCATGGCCTGCATACTCAGACATGTCACCCATTGAGCATGTTTGGGATGCTCTGGATCGACATGTACAACAGTGTGTTCCAGTTCCTACCAATATCCAGCAACTTCGCACAGCCATTGAAGAGGAGTGGGACAACATTCCACAGGACACAATCAACAGCCTGATCAACTCTATGCGAAGGAGATGTGTAGCGCTGCATGAGGCAAATGGTGGTCACAGCAGATACTAACTGGTTTTCTGATCCACGCCCGTACCTTTTTTTTTAAGGTGTCTGTGACCAACAGATGCATATCTATATTCCCAGTCATGTGAAATCCATAGATTAGGGTCTAATAAATGTATTTCAATGTAGGGGAGGGAATGGCCAGCAGGGGATGTAGCTCAGTTGGTAGAGCATGGCGTTTGCAACGCCAGGGTTGTGGGTTCGATAAAATAATGTATGTGCTAACTGTAAGTCGCTCTGGATAAGAGCGTCTGCTAAATGACTAAAATGTAAATGTAATTGACTGATTTCCTTATGAACTGTAACTCAGTAAAAATCTTTGAAATTGTTGCATGTTGCATTTATATTTTTGTTCAGTGTATTTTGATAAAATAATTACATTATTAGTGGGTCTTATGGTTGTGGAAAGCTTATACAGTGAGGGAAAAAAGTATTTGATCCCCTGCTGATTTTGTATGTTTGCCCACTGACAAAGAAATGATCAGTCTATAATTTTAAATGGTAGGTTTATTTGAACAGTGAGAGACAGAAAAACAAAACAAAAATCCAGAAAAACAAATGTAAATTTTTTTATAAATTGATTTGCAATAAGTATTTGACCCCCTCTCAATCAGAAAGATTTCTGGCTCCCAGGTGTCTTTTATACAGGTAACGAGCTGAGATTAGAAGCACACTCTTAAAGGGAGTGCTCCTAATCTCAGTTTGTTATCTGTATAAAAGACACCTGTCCACAGAAGCAATCAATCAATCAGATTCCAAACTCTCCACCATGGCCAAGACCAAAGAGCTCTCCAAGGATGTCAGGGACAAGATTGTAGACCTACACAAGGCTGGAATGGGCTACAAGACCATCGCCAAGCAGCTTGGTGAGAAGGTGACAACAGTTGGTGAGATTATTCGCAAATGGAAGAAACACAAAAAGAACTGTCAGTCTCCCTCAGCCTGGGGCTCCATGCAAGATCTCACCTCGTGGAGTTGCAATGATCCCCCAAAAAATCGAGCTCTTTGGCATCAACTCAACTCGCCGTGTTTGGAGGAGGAGGAATGCTGCCTATGACCCCAAGAACACCATCCCCACCGTCAAACACGGAGGTGGAAACATTATGCTTTGGGGGTGTTTTTCTGCTAAGGGGACAGGACAACTTCACCGCATCAAAGGGACGATGGACGGGGCCATGTACCGTCAAATCTTGGGTGAGAACCTCCTTACCTTAGCCAGGGCATTGAAAATGGGTCGTGGATGGGTATTCCAGCATGACAATGACCCAAAACAAACGGCCAAGGCAACAAAGGAGTGGCTCAAGAAGAAGCACATTAAGGTCCTGGAGTGGCCTAGCCAGTCTACAGACCTTAATCCCATAGAAAATCTGTGGAGGGAGCTGAAGGTTTGAGTTGCCAAACGTCAGCCTCGAAACCTTAATGACTTGGAGAAGATCTGCAAAGAGTGGAACAAAATTCCTCTTGAGATGTGTGCAAACCTGGTGGCCAACTACAAGAAACGTCTGACCTCTGTGATTGCCAACAAGGGTTTTGCCACCAACTACTAAGTCATGTTTTGCAGAGGGGTCAAATACTTATTTCCTTCATTAAAATGCAAATCAATTTATAAAATGTTTGACATGCGTTTTTCTGGATTTTTTTGTTGTTATTCTGTCTCTCACTGTTCAAATAAACCTACCATTAAAATTAGACTGATAATTTCTTTGTCAGTGGGCAAACGTACAAAATCAGCAGGGGATCAAATATTTTTTTCCCCCTCACTGTATTTAGCCTAGGTATAATTTCACAAGCCTTGAATTCATTCGATTATTGCCGACTGTTTGAAATGCAGTTTATTTGACCTTTAAAAT